GGGATATGACCAATCCCACACCTGTTGCATGTGCCAAAAACAGTGTTTTGATTAGAAGCCCAACTAAATTGATTACGGTTACCTCCTCCTTGACTTYTGTTGWTGTAGTTTCCTCGTCCGCGTCTAGAATCACGTCCACGGCCACGGTTATTCCCAGATCTGTTGGTGTAAAAGGCATGTGCAGGTTGTGCATTAACAGGCTGAACTTGAAGACCAAGTTGTGACARAAGYTGTTGAATAGCTTGAAGTTGATCTGGTTGAGGAGTGGACGAGGTGGCACCAGGAACTGCTGAGTTGCGGTTGTTCATGACAGTCGAGAATGCTTGAGGCGGAGAGATGTCAGTTGCAGATTTCTTGATCATGTAGTCATGGTCTGATAGCAGGCCATGAAGTTCTGCAAAGGCAGTTGGGAATTGGCGACCAAGGAGTGTTGACTTCAGGCCGTTGTATTCTTCTCTAAGACCCGAGATAACCAGCATCACCAAATCTTTTTCTTTCATTGGTTCGCCTATATTGGCGAGAGCATCAACATATTCTTGAGCCCTGGTCAAGTATGCGGAGGAGGTTTCAGCAGGCTTCATCTCTAGTTTAAGAAGCTGAGTTTTTAGGGTGTATTCCCTAGATGATGTGTGAGGAGCATAAGCACGTTCAAGAGACAGCCAAAGATCACGGGAGGTAAGTTCTTGAACGTGTTGGAACGACGCCTCAGAGATTGTAGAAATAATCAGCATCCGTACATGTGCATCATTGGAAACCCATGCTGTGTAGTTAGGATTCGGTTGTGGTGGGGGCACTGTGGTGCTGTCGGCATCTTTTCCAGATGATGATGATGATGAGATAGTCATCGGTGGACAAGGAATGGTGCCATCAACATAGCCGAACAGGTTGGTTGTGACAAGGAACGGTTGAACCATTGTCTTCCAATAGCCATAGTTGTTTGGTGATAAAGTGAAGCCAAACTTGTGGGAGTTATGGATGGTTTTCTCGGTTAGAGTGAAAGCTGCAACAGTTGTCATTGGACAGAAGGTGAGACAGCTGTAGGGTAGAAGACGGGTGGGATAGCTTTAGGGTTGCCTTGTGATGGCAGCGGTAAGGCGGCAGCGGTAGGGCAGCAGACGTAGGCCAGCAACTGTAGGGCCGGCTGTTAGGGTTGTCTTGTGATGGGGCTGCTGTGGTAGGGCAGCAGCTGTAGGGCCGGCTCTGTTAGGGTTGCCTTGTGATGGCAGCGGTAGGGCGGCAGCGGTGGGGCGGCAGCGGTACTACGGCAGCCGTAGGGCAGCAGCCGTAGGGCGTTTAGGGCCGGCTCTGATACCAAGATAAACTTGGTAATTATGTATRTATATATCGATTACAATCAGGGATATATATAAGAGATACATTTACACTCTAGACCCTCTAATATAATTATATATATATCACACTTAATTGTCTAATAGCCCACTTCTCCCTGTTGAAAGTATGAGGAAATTCATGTTGAAAACTGTCATTTATGCGGACCCAAGGGAGTACCAGATTTTGTTACTGTTCCATCGTCCACCTATAAACATCTTGCTCTCAAGATATGTGGTCTTCGTGCCATACCCCTCGGAGATAATGCTTTCTCTTTGAGGAAAATCCTCCATTTCTTATGTTTTCATCTTTCCACACATGAGCAAACCTCAAATTTTTCTTAATTTTCATCTGCCTAGCGTCCTCTAGTTTGTGCATTGGACATAATAGACCGTCAGCATATGACTTCATCTGGCACGATGGCTTGAATTCAGGAAAAGTTGCTTTTCTAGTTTGAAGATGGAAGTTCGACTAAATTGTTTGGTTAACCTTGTTTCTGATATTGCTACTCTCTAGGTAAAGAAAAAGTCCTGATATATTGTTGCTGTTTATTAAGTTTTTTTTTATTGCTAATCAGTACTGATTTCTAATATACGTTTATCACCCTAAAGAAATTCCTGGGCGTTCTTATAGATGATCATTAAAACTTTGAGAGCATCAAGGGAATGATGTACGAAAACCGTCTTAGAATACGGGTAACTTTGATGGTCATGCAAGTCTGTCACAAAGTGAGATCACCATTAGAGAGTCTGTTGATAGTATGAACCATTTACAAGCTAGAATGACAAGATGACATAAGATGCAGTGGTCATATAACCTGTTTAGTTTCGCTCAAATAAATAGTTTTGCAATGTCAAATACTTACACTGTCCCATGGAATTGAACATTTTTCTTTTTATATATCCCATGATTATTGCAACATTTCCTTTTATGGAAAGATTCCAAGATAAACTTGCTCATTTGTCCACTATCATCAAAAAAGATAAATTGAATTCATCGATTCAAGTCAATGGTATTCCTTCATTCGTCTTGATTTAGGGTATTTTAGATATTTACCAAATACTCATACCTTTTGCTTAAACTATAGGTAAGTCATAAGTTGCCAGTTTTCATGGGATGGAAGGAGTAGGATAAAAATGTAAGATCCCACATTGGTTGGGGAGGGGAACGAAAGTTGCCTTATAAGGGACTTTCTCTATTAGATGCATTTAAAAACCATGTCCGAGTGTGTGGACAAAGTGGAGAATATCTTGTACGGTTGGCCTGGGATGTTACATATGGTATCTGATTCGGGAACTAGACTAGTGTGCCAGCGAGCAGTGGCGGATCCAGGATTTTTGTCTACTGGGTCACCTTTAAGGTAGACTAAAGGTCCGCAAAATCGTCCGATGTGTTTTTAATCTAATTACAACGTTTCGAGGGATTTTTAAAGTTTTTTGGTTGATTTCAAGGATTTTTTAGTGTTTTTGTCGATTTCGAATAACTTTTTTGGTTTTTTTGATTGATTTCAATAGATTTTTTGGTTAGAGTAACGGTTTCGATTGGGGTTGGGGTCCCGTGGAAAAATATAATGGGGGGAAGTGAAAGGTAAATCGTGCAAAACCTAAATTTTAACCTAGGAAATTTTTTTTTGAGTTTTTGACTGGGGTCCTTTCCCCCTCCTTTTTGCTACTGTGTCCGCCACTGCTAGCGAGGACGTTGTGCTCCCAAGGGGGGGGGGGTGGATTGTAAGATCCCACATTGGTTGGGGAGAGGAACAAATTTGCCTTATAAGGGACTGGATACCTCTTGTATCAGACGCCTTTTAAAACCATGAGTCCGGGTGTGTGGACAAAGCGGACAATATCTGGTACGGTTGGCCTGGGATGTTAGTCATGTTACAGTGTTCACATCTTGTGTTTAGCTTCTACTCATGATCTTCCTGACATCTTCCTGTTCAATGCTTCTATTCTTCTACTTGGTTTATGCTTTGATCCACTAGGAATTTATTTGCCTTACACGTTTTGCAGCCACTGCTATGCTTATTATTATGTCTAGGAAACATATTAAAATGATGGTCATTTTCTATTGGCTTTAATTTATAAAGATATTTCTTTGTACATATTCCTATTTGGCTATATGGTCCACCCTTAAATTTTCACTGCTGCAACTGGCCTCACGGTTGTACTGTTGTTACAGATATCTCCTACGGAGAAGTGCTCTGGAATTATTTATGGTTGACCGATCGAACTTTTTCTTTGATTTTGGGGTATTTTTCATAGACATTTGTGTATGTTGCTTTGGGAGAACTACAGTGGTGACTTTCAGTTGATAAGTCTGTTGTTTTGTTAACTTTGTCCAGAATGCTGAGGCGAGAATGAGAGCGTATCGAGCTATTATTCATGCACGTCCTTCCCACTTGAACAATATTTTCTTGGCGACTCAGGTTATTTTCTTCTGCTTCCTTAGTTTTATATCCTAAACACCTTATTGCGGGGGTATTTTCGGAAAATGCTCCGTCCGTCCCATGAAACTTTCAACTTTTGACTATGCTGATTTTCGAATGAAGTATTTTCAAAATATGCTCCCTCCCTCCCTAAAAATTACAACTTTTGACTTTGCACATCGTTTCGGGGAAGTGTCTGTCCATGTTAAATGTCTAATATGCCTTTCAATAATGGCGTAATAAGGAAATTTGTGGACCTAAACCAAGAATAATGAACCTAAATAGTCACCTTTTGCTTGCGGTGACTTTTTCTGACATATTCTGTGAAATTTTCTTTTTACGTCCCCCGAGTGTAAAACCGCAACTTGTGGTGCCGCAAGCCAAATCCAAAGCATGCAAATTTATATGCAAATGTATAAATCCATACCTGCAAAAAAGAGGAAACCGCAAGTTGCGGTTTTGGATTTGACCTGTGGCACCGCAAGCTACGGTTTTGGATTTGTCTTGCGGCACCGCAAGCTACGGTTTTGGATTTGTCTTGCGGCACCGCAAGTTGCGGTTTTACACTCAAGGAACGTAATTTTTTTCCACAGAATATGCCCAAAAAAGTTTGACACTGCAAGCAGAAGGTGGCTTGCGGTGTCAGGTTTACAGGATTTCGGACTTTTTTGAAAAAAAAATGGTGGCTATATTTTTAAAAAAGATAGTCAACATGGTTAGATAAGTTAATTACTCCCTAAACCAATATCCTTAAGTTTTTCTAACGACAACAGTGGACAAAAAGATATTTGTAATGTGGAATTTTTCCAAGGATGGGAATGTTGCAAATTTCACGTAACTACCCCTAGATAGAAATTGCACCAATTTTTTTGGAAGGGTGTCTCAGGCTATGCCTGGACTAATCCCAGCAAATTGTGACCGCAAGAAATCAGCCCTGATAAACTCAGTGGCCACAATTGTTTGTGTATGCTTGGAATCAAACCCTGAGCAGATGGGATATTCCACCACATCCCCCAGGACCTCATCACTACGCCACAACCCTTGTGGTTAAATTGCTCCAATTTTCATGGGATGGAGGAAAAGCATATTTGTCTCACAAGTTGAACAGTTGCATTGCTCCACTTACAAACAAAGTTTGGGATCGTTCAAATATAACCAAGGGGCCTCGTTCATTTTAAGAATGTCACATTGCTTTCATCTTTGTCGTAGAGACCTGAACAAATTCTCAAGCGGACTCAACTCATGGAACGCTGGTCACGCTGGGAGGTACCAAGAAGAATGAAAAATGAATTTTGACATGTTTATGTAGCTATGTCACCATGTATATCTTGACCTGGAGTAATGATTATTGCTAACCAAATCCATTGCAGATCAGCAACTTTGAATATTTAATGCAGCTCAACACACTGGCTGGACGTAGCTATAACGACATCACCCAGGTGGATATCTTCATAATGAATATTCTAATCATGTTATGGGAATGCATGGATCATGCTAATAACTTCACATTTCACCGCAGTATCCTGTTTTCCCATGGATTCTTTCAGATTACAAGTCAACTCATTTGGATCTTGCCAATCCGTCATCTTACCGGGATCTTTCAAAGGTGACAACAATCTTTGTTTTCCTTTTTGCCAGCTGAACTAATGAAATATGGCAATTCAAACTGGCCTGTAGTTTTATGGCTCGAGTTCAACTCACCCCTCCCAAGGCCTTTTGCCTCGTAGTGTAACAAAATGAAGTATTTTCTTTTCTAACTTGCACTTCGGAACAAACTATTTTGCAGCCCATTGGAGCATTGAATGACGATCGCTTGAAAAAATTCCAGGAAAGATACTATAGCTTTAATGATCCAGTCATACCCAAGTACCATTATGGTTCACATTACTCGACTGCTGGGACAGTAGGTTTTCTGATCATTTATTTACAGTTCCATATTGTAGCAGTTCTTTCTTTTTCACAACATCTCTTCTACTTATGTGGGTCTTAAAATGTAAAAAGACCTCTTGCAAGTATGACAAGCATAGTTGTTAAAGGCGCACCTCAGCTCTGAGGCTCAAGGTCTTGGGCTTTTTTAAAGTCGAGGCTAGGCGTATTCATGAGGCTCACTCTCCCTCATGGCTCACACTTTAGACCTTCTCCATTCTGCCTCAATCGAAGTACTGCTGGTTGCTGCACTGAAGTACTTGCTACATATTTGAGTTTGTGTATAACTGTGTGTATATATATATGTATCCTTTTTTTATAAGATGCGCCTCACATTCTTGAGGCTCGCACCTCGTGCCTAGGCCCCGGGACCCCTTTGCGCCTAAGTGCGCCTAGAGCCTTTAACAACTTTGATGACAAGCTATGTCCAAATATTTAGAAGAATACATTTTAAAAATATGAGTCACCTTTAATTAATATATGCAATGCTGATATTTGCAGAGATTATTTAGAGAAATGTTGTATGCAGAATATCCTCTAAATGGTTTTTAATGCCTTATATGAACAAGATTACGTTCTTTTAATTTACATTGCAAGTATAGAATTGAGTCCCGCTCTTCTATGACAGGTGTTGTATTATCTCATGCGAGTAGAACCATATACTACCCTTTCAATTCGATTACAAGGTGGCAAATTTGGCCACACAAACAGAATGTTTTCAGATATTGGTGCTACTTGGAATGGAGTTTTGGAGGACATGAGTGACGTGAAGGAACTGGTATAAGTTTATATAACTGGTACAATGTATTGCTCTAATTGTCGTGAAATTTTTTTAGCTTCTGTCTTTAGAAGCTTCTGCCCTTCTGGGTCTACATTGAGATTATTTAGTTATGATACATGTACACAATCGTATTTTATTTTCTCATGTGTTTTATAAAGAAATTTTGAATAACTCTACCCGCGCATATTCTTTACTTGCTATTTTCTTTATATTGAAGGTCCCTGAGCTGTTTTACTTTCCGGAGATGTTGACGAATGAGAATTCAATTGATTTTGGTACCACACAACTTGGAGATAAACCGGGTATGAGTAATTCTAAATAGTTTTGGATTGTGAGTTCTCACATCAGTTGGGGAGGGGAACAAAGGTTGCATAATAAGGAACTGGATACCTCCTCTATCAGACACATTTTAAAACCGTGAGCCTAGGTGTGTGGACAAAGCGGACAATATCTGATATGGTTGGCCAGAGATATTATAGATGGTATTAGAGCCGGGAACCGGACTGGTGTTCCAGCAAGTATGCTGGGATCCCAGGGGGGGGGTGGATTATAAGATCCCACATCAGTTGGGGAGAGGAACAAAGGTTGCATTATAAGGAACTGGGCACCTCCTCTATCAGATGCGTTTTAAAACCGTAAGTCCATGTGTGTGGACAAAGCGGACAATATGGCCTGGGATGTTACAGTTTTTTTTCCTGCTTGTATTTCTCTTCCCAGCCTTTAGTTTGAGAGCTGTCTTTTTCCTTCCTAACATTGTTTCTGTTTTCAGATTCTGTTAAGCTTCCTCCTTGGGCTGAAAATCCTGTTGATTTCATGCATAAGCATCAAATGGCTCTTGAGAGTGAACATGTCTCTGCTCATTTGCATGAATGGATTGATCTCATATTTGGGTGAGCTCTGTTTCATTGATTCTTTTGTATTGAGAACTTCTATTATTATTTAGTGCATAGTAATTTCCCTAACATCTTGCCGTCTAGGAAAAAGTGCAGTCTTCGTTGATGGTTTTGTGATGCTAGGTACAAGCAACAAGGGAAAGAAGCTATTTCAGCAAACAATGTATTCTTTTATGTCACGTATGAAGGGGCCGTTGATATCGACAAAATTCAAGATCCAGTAAGTCTGTTTATTCATTATATTGCTCCCTTGTCTCATGAAAATTGGAAAACTTCCTTGTTTGGAAAGTCCCGTAAATTTAAACCTTCCTTTTTTGGGAAGTTCTTTATCTAAGTTCACTTAGCTGCACACTGTCATTGTTACAGAGAATGGTTACAGTGACTTGGATCCATGAGATTACTAATTTTGTAATTATTGAAGATTATCTAAGACCATTTGGTTAAAAGTCAAAACATTTTGATTTAACTATGGGTTCGATTAACGTTGCAATTTTCATGGAAAGCATGAACTATCATTCATGTTTTTGATGTTGCTGGATTTGATTTCTTTTTTTCTAAATCTTTTAAATGAACATTGCACCAAAAGGTCCAGCGGCATGCTATACAAGATCAAATTGCTTACTTTGGACAAACCCCATCACGTCTTTTGACAATCCCTCATATAAAGAAGATGCCGCTTGCAGATGTTCTTCATATGCAGGTAACTATCATACCATCACCATAATTTTACATGTAGTATATGGAAAGTTCTCTTCTTTCGATGAAGTTGATGAAAAGGTGTACAACTTGCAGCATTATGAGCTCTGCCTCATGGGTAAATTTGAATTCCTTAATTTGAATCTAAATTGGCTCTAAAACTATGCAACTAGAGAATAAAATTAATTATCCAAGTGTGAAACCCTTTACATTTTTTTCCTAGTTTGTTCTTATAGGGTGCGTTTGGTACACTGGACTTGACTGGACAGAATAGGGATCATTGTTCCATGTTTGATAGGGCTTATATGTGGAACAGACAGGAACAGAGTGGAACAAAGTGTTCCACCCTCCACCCCATGGAACAAGGTGGAACAGACTTATATTTTACCAATATAACCTCAAAAAATGCGGAATCTAAATCCAATGGGCAGGATCTCTGATGTATAAAACCCTGGGCACACTGCCAGTGGACGCACCGATAGTCACATTGGTGCCTTAGCGATTGAATATAAACAATATTTTCTTGATAGCGTAGAAGCCGCATATTGAAAACCTATATCTCTTCTAAAACATCAAATACATCTCCCTCGTTACATTTTATTCATTCTTTAAATTTTATTTATTTTATTTTATGCTTTTTAAACTTCCACTTTACTGTCCTCAAAATATTAAATTTATATGGTTTCTATATTTTGTTTGATGTATGTAATTTTTTAAATATTAATAATAATAAAATAATATAGAAAACGTACAAAATAAAAATCGGAAACTACATAAACTTTTTTACTTTGGTGTCATTTTAATTATCTTGACGAAAACTTTCTAATGATATATTTTGTCATAAAAATTAGTTATTTTATTATAATTTAATAAATTATATAACTTAATCAAAACATATAAAATATATAAACAACTCATTAGGGGCAAATTGGTCATTTTATTTGTTCTGTCATCTCCAGTTCTGTTTTACCAAACGTTGAACAATTGTTCTATCTTGTTCTGTTTTATCTTCTCGTGTCTGGATACCAAAGGCACCCATAGAAATCTACTCTAAAGGCCTTCTATGTCTGTTGCATTTGTTTAAAGATGTATATAGTTATTTGAAATTGGTAATACATCTACTCTTTTGACTCAGACCATCTTTCGGAATCCCAAAGAAGTCAAACCATATCATGTTCCATCTCCGCATCATTGCAATCTACCTGCGTCCGCCATTCACGCATCTTCAGATTCTCTTGTAATTGTTGATACTAATGCTCCCTCAGCAAACATAGCATTACACAAGTGGCACCCAAATACGCCGGATGGACATGGAATGCCGTTCATGTTTCAACATGGAAAAGCTAATGTAAGCTCCGGTGGTGGAACTTTCATGCGTATATTCCGAGGAAGAAGTGCGTCCAGTTCAGAGGAACGGAAATTTCCCCAAGCTCATGCCTATGCAGCTTCAGGGATTACCAGCTCTTCCATAGTCTCTGTCACATATAACAACGAAGTTATCACGGGTAAGGTTTTTCCTAGTTTAAAATTGAACGATCATGATTGTGGGTGCATCAACAGGTCATCAACACCCCCCCCCCCCAGGTTTTACTCCCTTTTGGGTTTCTTGGGTGTTCAAATACTAGTGTACATAATGCAACACTAATGCTTTACTAGGGTCAATAGTATAAAAAGATATGGATCAATTCGATAAACCTCTTTTGGAGTTGTCAATCGTCATTAGTATATTTAAACGACACTACACATGAATGCTTCCGGTGTTCGACATTTTGTTGAAAGAATTGTTATTCTATGCAATTGAATACCTCTAATTTAAGTAGAAGTGCCTTACGGCAACTAGGGCTGTAAACGAACCGAATGTTCAGCGAACCGTTCGTGAACCGTTCGGCTTATGTTCCTTTATTTAATAAATGAACGGACATGAACAATTTTTTTTTTGTTTAGTTAAACGAACGAACATGAACAAGAGTCTCGTTCGTTCATTTATGTTCGTGAACGTTCATTCATTTACCGTTCGTTCGTTTATAAACGTTAATATATAATCTTTTGTTTATTTACTTTGAATTCAAATAATATTTATTTATGTTCGTTTAGCCCGTTCATTTATGTTCGTTCGTTTACGTTCGTTTAGCATGTTAACGAATGAACATAAACGAACACGAACACACCTGATTTCTAAACGAACGAACACAAACACAAAGATTTTCATTCGTTTACAGTTCGTGTTTGTCCTTTTGTTCGGTTAAGTTAAACGAACGAACATGAACAAGCCTCCGTTCGTGTTTGTTCGGTTCGTTTACAGCCCTAACGGCAACTGTCCTTTATGTATTTACACTATCGCCTCAAAGTTTTAGATATGGAAGCCATTTTTACTTTTGTAAAATTTATGTTTATTAGTTGCAAAGATGATTGTTTTTGTATGATATATATACGGTCAGGTTCAAGCGAAAACCGCAAAAAAATGAAAAACCTAGGAACACCCTATAACTATTCATCTCGATAGTATGCACTTGTGCATACAAGTAACTTGTAAGCAATTTGTCCGGTATGCACATGTGCATAAAACTAAGAAACAACTTCAATTACTTGTATGCACATGTGGATACTGTCCAGATGAATGGTCACCACGATGTTCCTCATTTTTTTTTATTTTTTTGGGGGGTTTTCCCCTGAACCTCCTTCTATATATATATATATATATATATATATATAGGGTTGGGTTCACGTGAGACCAGACTGTTTTCGTGAGACCCATGAGACCATTTTTTTACACTTGAAACTTCACAACAAAACACTGTGAAGGTAAAAAAAAATCTGAACCTTCACGGCAAAAACACTTGTGAAGGTTACCTTCACAGTGTTCTGCTGTGAAGTTTCAAGTGTAAAAAAGTGGTCTCACGAAAACAGGTTGGTCTCACGTGATCCCAAGTCTATATATATACATGTGTGTGTGTAGTGACACAACAATATAGATGAAGCCTGCCCTTGAATTGATCATTAGTATAACAACTCAATTTGAGCTTTGGGACTCCTACTGTAGGTGGACATGTGGACAACAGTATCCGGTTGGTATCACCTGATGGAGCAAAAACCTTGGAAATAGCCAGAGGGCATTGTGCACCCGTGACTTGTATGTTTCTATCACATGATAGCAAGTATCTCGTCACTGGTTCCCGAGACACAACGATTCTAGTCTGGAGAATACATCGGTCACCAAGATTTCGGTCATGCATATTGCCGGAGCCGCCCACCGGCACAGCGACCCCAACTTCAGTTAGTGCTACTACTGCAGCAAGTGGTTTCACAGATAAAAACCGAAGAAGGCGGATTGAAGGTCCCATACAGGTTATCCGTGGCCATCTTGGAGAAGTTATCAACTGTTGTGTCAATTCAGATCTTGGAACCGTTGCCTCGTGCTCCAATTTTTCGGGCGTTTTGCTTCATTCGATGAGTAGGGGCAGATTGCTCAAGAAGCTTCATGGTGTAAAGGCTCATATAGTCAGGCTTTCACGAAATGGTATCGTTGTCACTTGGAATAATTCACTACGCTCTCTCTCCACTCACACTCTTAACGGGATTCTAGTTGCCCGGGCACATCTTCCTCTCTCATGTAGAGTTAATTGCATGGAGATTTCTTTTGATGGGCGGAGTGTTTTGATGGGATTAAACTCGTGTTCGGAAAATGAGTGTGATGATGAGGAAAATGAAGTTGCTGAAATCGAGAGATTGAATGTTCCATCTCCTTCAGTTTGTCTCATCGATCTGCATACTCTTAAGGTACAATTTGGGTCCTTTTGTTAAATGACCTTCTGACAAAAAAAAATTAGTTTTTTTAAATCCGTGGCCTTCTGACCCGTTTGAGAATGCCACTGCCCAACTGAAGAATGCCTAGAAACCTGTGAGAAGGTCATGTATTTATAAAACACTTGTCAGAAGTCATGTATTTGAAAAACACTTGTCAGGAGGCACAATTTGATGGGGGAATACAAAAAAAATCTTCAACTCTCTAATTGATATTGATATCAACTTGCTTACAAGCATACATTTTTCGACAGGTGTTTCACACAATGAAACTTGAAGAAGGGCAAGATATAACGGCACTGGCGATGAACAAGGACAACACTAATCTATTGGTGTCAACATCTGATAAAAAATTAATAATCTTTACAGATCCTGCGGTAAGTTGACAATTTCCTTTCCATGTCTTCAAGAATTTCTTCTCTTGCCCCAGTAGCGAGCAATAAATGTAAACATTGTACTTGGGTTGTGGCACACTGGTTAAGGCTCACGGGATGTAGTGGAAATCTCATCTTCCCTGGGTTCGAATCCAGGCGCTACCAAAGCCCTTGTGGCCATGGAGGTTCACCTGTGAGGACTCCAGGCTATTTGTGGTCGCACGGAGGATTAGTCGGTGCTTGTAAGTTGACCCGGAAACCCGGAGGATTAGTCGGTGCTTGTAAGTTGACCCGGAAACCCATAGTTACCCAAAAAAACAAAGTGGTATTAATATCACATTTTATTTTATTTAGTAAAAATAAGTCATTTTGAAAAACTTAAGCGAGAGTTTACTTGATGGCATTTGTATTTTAGTGCAGTTTTTCAGCGATCTTCAGTCATATGAGTATTAACAGGATTTTTACAAACTTTTGAGTTCATTTTGCTTCAAGAGAACACCCTTTTCTTTGTGGAAACCGAAGGCTATATGAGTTATATACATGCTGCTAATGCTAATGTTAACTGATCTTAATACTCCCTCCGTCCCAAAATAAATGTTTATAATGAAAATGGCGCACAATTTAAGGAATGTGTAATCATACACTTTTTAATTAACTAAAGGACACTTTTACCTTAATAATAGAGGGACAAATTTTCTCCATCTCCTAATTAAGGGTAGGACGGGAAAGTAGACACTTACTTTTGGAAGTGGACATTTTGGGACAAGGGGGCCTTTTTGAGAACTCTCTTAATTGTGAGATCTTTGAGAACCGGTGCATCATGTGCTATTTCATATGATTTTTTTCATCTATGGCTAGATTTTAATGTAGTGATTAACATATATTTGTTTCACAATTTGTTCGTTTCACATGTACTCTTTTGGCGTGTTTGTGAAATAAAAGATGCACGTAAAAATGTTTCACATTGTGAACCAAATACATATGAAACAAACACATTGTGAAACAAATATATGTTAATCAATACATTAAATACTATATTTAGATGGAAAAAATAATGTGAAATAAAACCTTAAGGTAGAAGTTCTCACAGATCTCACAAATTTTGGAGTTCTCAGATGATTAAGCCCCAATTTTTTTTTGATTAACCTGGATATCCAACCCGCTATGCGAGCCGACTAATTGGGACAAACTAAAATAGAAATAGGGAAACCTTTGGTACGGAGGGAGTAATGCTTTAATAAATACAATGGTTTCCAGTACATATATCGCTCCTTTCAAATAATTTTTGTGTGCTGGTATGAATTTCGCAAGTCGTGTGTCTTTCAGGTGAAGTTCAAGACCGTGGTCCGGCGAGCAGGAAGCGGGCTTATAGGGTTGACTAGGGGTAGGCGTCGATCAAGGAGGAGCTTGGCAAGTGTTTCAAGTGATGATGAATAGCAATGTAGGCATAACGGAAAGGGTTTCTGACTACTTCGTTCAAGTAAGAGGTATGTTGCATCTTTGTTTGGGTGACCATGAATAACCGAAAACTCTATTTTCTTATATCTATATGTTTGGAATTATGGGGACATTTCATTTACAAACCATACAAATCTTAGTCGTCAATCTGGTTTAATAAATATTTGATTCCGTTTTGTTTTCTAATCTAAAGTCATGATCATAATGAATGAACCTTATCATCTTCCATATATATCTCAATCGTAATTAATGAATCATGATAATTGTCTATAAATATCTCTATTCTTTTCTAATATAAGCATAGATTATGGTTTGTATAGTTTGTTAGAATTGGATGGTTTGTAAATGAAATGCCCCCTTGGAGTTATATGTAGCAATTACCATGCAACATTTTTTTCTCACTTAGGGTTATTTGGTTAGTTTTTCATTAAGTCTTGTATATATAAAGTTGTCTGTATGGATTAATCAGTTTCTATAGATTGAGATGGTTTATGTTTGGTAGGGTTTTTTTCATTGATGGAAGGAACGAGTTTTTTAATTGGGAGGGGTAAGTTTGTAAAAAACTTGGCTTTCTGCATAAAGCTCCCCCTTAAAGTTTACTGAATAAGCCACTTTCTATATCACTACTAAACAATCATGTATAGCTGACCAAATAAGTTGTGAGTCCTATTAAGCTCATTAAGTTGCAAATAAACAGACCCTTCTTGTCCTAATCTAATGCCACACGATCATTGGACAACAAGTTTTTGTTCTGTCATATCTCTCCTAACCAATCACACACTTTCTTCTCCTTATCATATGTTTTATTTTTACTTCTCACACACCTTGTTCAAGTGAGGGGGTCTTCAAGGAAACAACCATTCTACTCTTGTGGGTAAAGGTCAAGTCTACGTACATCTTACCCTCTAGACCCCACCTCCGGATGGGATATACTGGGCTCGTTTGGTGTTAGCCGTAAAATATTGTTCTTGTTGCTTGTAGTTGAGCTTGAAGATGGTGGGTGATATGCTACTTTCATGAAATTCTGTGGAAAGTCTTCACTTTTCAACAGAAGGGCAAGTTGGCCCGTTAACACGTTATCGGATTCAACTAGCAGCCACGATCATCGTGTAACATATATATACATCTCCGGCTTCGTATATATCATTTGCAGAGTATTAGATGTACACTAGAGGGCTTTTTATGTTGATTTTGTAAATTGATGCCACCATGAAAGTGGTCCTTTGAGCTTCTTATGTACATGTTTACTTTGATTTCTTCTCATGTAATGCTACATACATGTTGTACACATTTAGAAATGGAAAAAACAACACTTGTTGTGTGCTTGCCATCCAAGTTGACATGTCACGGCCTTACGGGCATCTTTTTCCCGAGTATGCAACAAATGCAGGTCGGGAAAATGTAATCAAATAGTCATTGGCTCAGTGGTATTCAAATTACTGATAAATTCCAACTTTCTTGGAAGTTTGGAGTTCAAGATTCACCAAATATGAGGACTCTGTACGAGTTTTTGTCGTATATGTACTTTCAAAAAAGAATGAAGGACCAAAAGAGTCTTTGGGTTAGTGGTATCTGAGCATTTGAGTCAAGGTGTGTAAATTTATTTGTTGAATATAAATATTATATATTTATATAGCTACGAAAAATGTCTTGGATGGAACTACATGTGGAAATATCATTTGTAACTATGGATTTTTGATGAGATTCTGTATATTAATGTTAGCATGGTTGTATCTGAAATATCATTTCTAAGTACCATAAATAGCTAAAACTGTCCCCTCGGGGTGCCTTCGATATTTTGGTGGATGTGGTTCACCCCACCCGAACGCGTATTTGGCTTGCTTTTAGCGTTTAGTGTTTTACCTTGATCTGGAGGGTCTCCTCCCCCCCCCTATCAAAAAAAAAAAAATAGCTAAAACTGATAGATTGTTTCACTTTTTAGCCATTTTCTAACCCAAATTTACTTTTTAGCTAATCTTTATGCATAAGGCTTAGAATATGAATAAGATTGGTTTCAGCGAAAATAAATAAAAGAATATGAACCCTTACTTTTTAGCTAATCTTTACACCGGACTTAGGGGTTGTTTGGTTGATTGGTTTTCCATTAAGTTCTGTATATAGAAAGTTGTCTGTGTAGATTAATCCGTCTGTATAGATTTGGAAGGTTTTTTATTTCAAATGGTTTTTAACATATGAAAGGAATGTGTTTTCTCATTTTTAATTGGGAAGCACAAGTTTAGAAGAAAAAAAAACTTGGTCTTTCTGCATAAAACACCTTTAAAAGTTTACTGAATAAGTTGTATTATTAAGACCTTGGCAAACTAGCTGATAAGTTAACTGATGACTGATAAACTAGCTGATAGTTGAAAAATTAGCTAATGAACAAATTATGCTTGACAAATAGTAGCTTATAAACATGTAAAACGACTAAAAAGAACATTTTTTTTACAAATAGTCAATTACAAGTATTTCATAACATAATTAAAACAATTTTTTAATAATATAATATATTAATTAATACAAAGAAGACAGTAAAAAAGAATAAACA